AATTCTATAATAAATCGCAATTGTGATTACTTTATTCGAATAAACTTTGTTGTTCCCCCAGTCGATAAACATATATTCATTCCATTCATAGTTCGTCGCAAATAATTTCAGTTTTTAGACATGTTTCTAGTATAGCTTCCAATTCTATCGTGAGCACAAGATTTGACTTGTTGGAGAATTTTGCGATTTGTGAAGAAACCGTAGAATTTGTTAGGGGAAGATATATGTTGCTAGCGTGTTGTAACGTGAGATGGAGGACGGAACGAAAGGAATTATATTCTCTCATCACAAGAATGAATGTTGATAATAGAGTGCAAAAAATAAAAAGAACGTAACTTTGAAATTACGTTCCAGATTGGAGACTGTAATTTCGGCACGCATGTGAGTAGAAGACACAAGAAATTTGAAACTCCTAGCATTCACGCCAAAAGCGCTTAGATTCTGAGCACTTCAGATCTAAGTCTTTTTACTGTTTCGCCGCACAATAATGTAGATTTCAAATTTCTCAAGTGGTGAGAAATTTGATATCTTGCCCATTTTGTCAATAAATAGCTGACAATAAATCGCAAAACTCTCCACCTTGCTATACTTTCGAAGCACACAATTTTGCCTATTCGAATAACGATTTCCAGTAATAAAGGAAATTATTCCAAAACCAATCCATGAAATCTATCTGCGGGATGCAGTGGAGATATTTGTCATCAGGGCTATCATCTGATGAGCGTCTAATGTCAATATCCGTGCAAACAGAACAGGTGCTTCCCAGGCAATCGAGCACCGGCCCTATGCAAGTGAAATCTAATCCAGCAGTCTGAAAACTTGTCTAATTATGTTTCGAATGTATCTTTACTCGCCGGCTATAGCGGGAGGAAATCAACACAGCATCTATTAGACTTAAATTTGGCTAAGAGATATTATGAATTGGATTTCTCAAAATAACGTAAACGTTCACTTCGGTTAGGACAGGGCTCGGCACGAGGTGGCTTACAAGCAAGCTGGATATCGTTTTTGGGACGAAAAGCAAAGGGGGTTTCGTTTTTGTGACCGAAGAGACACGGAAAATTGGCGACGGCGACCTTTTTTTTTAGTCGACGTTTCGTTTTTTGGGGGATTTTGGGGAATTTTTCAGGTTTTTAGAGGAAATTTGGTTGAGGGTCAAAGGGGACTTCGTAAAAATTCCCAAAAGTCAAGGGGGACTTCGTTTTTTCCATTTTTATCTAGCCACCTCGTGCCGAGCCTTGGGTTAGGAGTACACGAGAAGGTTGAATTATGGATGGCAACAAGTCCTTGTGGATTATATTAAACCACAAATGCAGGCACAGTCTGCCAAACTCTGCCAATGCATATGAGGAGACAATGTATTAAAAATCGTAAAATTACTTCATGTTTAAAAAAGAGTCTTTGGCTGACGTCTATTCCAAAAAATTTGAATCGCGTGTTTGAGTCTTTAAGATCAGCAAGAAACTAAAACATAAGCCAAGCTCATGCTTTGCTTGCAAAACATACTTCAAATCTTTCAACAGAACGCAACGATAACTGCAAAACATCCAGAATCGTCCAAATTCAAAAAAAAAAATTCTGAAACCGAGGACAAAACAAAACATTTCGGACATTCATGGAGAATGATAGAATGACTGTTTCTTTGCAAAATGTCGTAAACTCCTCTCTACGATTCTTACCTCAAACATGTATTCTAATAATTTTTTTCTTTTTCTTCCATGAATCTTAAAGGCAGCGGCTCGGCAGATTCTCGACTTGAAGTTTTTCGCTTGCCTGGGGGTAATTCGAGGCGCTGATTCCGAAAATCCACATTAGAGAGCTCGAAAACGGCGAAAACGAGCGCTTTTTGATGCCCTTACCCTTGAGATTGGACGAGTGGAGCAAGGTGGATGACGCTGAGTCGTGGCGGGACCCAATACTTATCATTGCGGAGGGCAGCCTCCAATGATGAGAAAGAAATTGCCAACTCGTCCGCATAAGGTGTTAGGGGAGCGAAAGGAGGAAGGGGAGCGGAGCTTAGCTCGCCCCCTGGCTTGCAGAATTCGCATTTTCGGCCCGGAGCTGCCGTTTTGGTTCACTTGGAGGGCCTTCTATCCATCTACGTCAAATTCTGAGGTTGGTCTATTCTGCCGAGCCGCTGCCTTCAAGGAATCAAGAATAATTTGAACACCCACCGCTTCTCTTCGTTTCCGGGATGCTGAGAATGTTGATGAGAGTAGTGGAATGAAAAGTTGTACAACATCTGCACTAAGACATGCCATTTTGTTGGCTGGTGCGATTCTTGGTACGGTATTGTTTTCACTGAATTGCTGCACCATTTAATCTGCGAAATGTTACAAAACAAAATAGTGAGCCTTTTGATTCTGTGCTTATTATAGATCGATGCATTGGCAAATGTACTTTTCGCCATTTGCCTTTCCTTGGTATGCAAGTATTCGGTATCTCCCAAAATAATTACCCCTTAATGCTCCAAAAGCATATCAAAGCATTCAGATATAGCAGCCTTGTTCCACGCTTAAAGGCAGTGTCCAAGTAATAAGTCAATTTCGAGATTATGTGCTTACCTGGGCCTATTCGCTATGCTAAATCCGAAAATCACCACTGGAGCGCGACAAAACGGCGAAAAAAGGCTCTAGCGGAGGAGGGAAATTGCAGGTGGGCGGGGCTGTACACATAGTGGTGTCACTTTCCTAGCTTCAGGAGCGATCTTCTCGCTTCCGCTAACCGCACTAACATCACCACCACCCAACTGCGAAACGCATGACATAAAATCGGAACCGAGAAGATCGCCTCTAAAGCCTGGGAGAGTGACGTCGCGGTGTAAACGGCCCCGCCCACCTGCGATTTCCCTCCTGCGTTAGGGCCTTCTTTTTGGCGTTTTCGCGCTTCCCATTGTAGTTTATCGGATTCAGCATGGCGAATAGGCCCGGGTAAGCACAAAATCTCGAAATCGCCTTTTTGCTTGGACACTGCCTTTAAGAATTGCGCGTCTACAGTAAATGTACAACTTGGACGGAGGGTTTATGTTATGTATCTCCTATCCAGCTTCATATAAACACCTCCACGATGCAATGCGATACGCGCGCTCGATTTGGTTCTCATCATCTCATTTATTAGGTTGTGTAATAAGTTGTGTCCCATTTTTCCTCTCGATTTTTTCTTAATATTTTGCGCGATATTGTGCAAATTGTTTATATGCATTTGAAAGCTCTAAGCCTTCTCTATTAAAATTTTCATTTCGGTTTTCTACATCAAAACGCTTGAAAAGTTTTACAGCGCCAAATTTGGAAAATCAAACAGCGAAAAAATCCATTTTTGACAACTTCCTTACGTCGCCCTCCAAATTAGTCAGAATACCTACGAATAAGCTCGAATAATTTGCTACACGTAAGCACAAAAGGCTACAGCTTCTATTGCGCTTCAGGAGTGCTGAAACTTTTCGAAAAACATTTCTGTGAACTTTAGTAAAGTCTTCTTTTTAACGCCTTTTCAACGTTGACGTTGGGCATCATCTGAAGGCATCCTGATGGAGGACGGTAGGAGGATCATCCAGAAAAGGCAGAGGGAATGGTTTATGATTTCAAAATTATTGAATTTTTAGGCTAAATACTCAAAATCCGACTTTCGGGAGCCACACATCTTGGATACTCGAGACGGCGAACATCGCCGTGACAAAGCCTTGCTTTGCCGACTTTTAAAAAAATGTCATTAAATATTCGGTGGGAGGAAAGGAGCAAGCGCAAACAGTGACAGAATAAGCGTAAGAGTCTAACAGATTGTTTTGCTTGTTGTTAGGCTTGTTTGATTAATTTTACCAATGAAAAGCGAGAAAAGTTTGGAGGGAAAAAGGTGTCGAAAATTGATTTTTCGGCTTCTCGGATTTTTTGTTTCAATAATAAAGATCTTTTTCATTTTCTTGCTATGCTGGAGAATGATGCATATAAGCCTATAGAGCAGACTTAGAACTTTCGAAAGCATATGCACTTCATCCAAAATATAGTCAATGTTGTCGAGAAAAAAACTAAAACCAAAAATGGGACAGAAAATATTACACGACCTAATACATGAGCAGGAAGCGATTCGACGCACAGGTAGGATGGAAAGAAGAAGTGAAATCTTCCAAGTTTACGGAGTATAGCCTATGGAAGAATAGACCTTGTACAAAGCTTACAAAATTCAACTTCTAATATGGATAGTGTGGCGGACTGGGGCGCATTTTTCGGGGTGGCGCCGCCACGCCCCCTTTTTCTAGATCTTAAGGGCCATGGGCCCACAAAAAATTTGAGAAGCACCTCAGAAAATTTTTTGGAGTGCGTGACGTTAGCCACACACTTTCATCTGAAAAAAATTTTTTTGCCCCTCCCCCTGGACGGAATTTTGCGACCGCCACTGATAGATAAATAGACCTTGAAACTCAAATGACAAGCAAATGGTAACAAGCCGTGGGAGAAGTATTGGCATTTTAAGCACATTTTTCTTCTGAAGAGTTAAAAAATTTTGTGAGTGAAATTACAAACCTTTGCTTTACAAGGAAAGCCCTGGTGACTAACCAAAGGCCAACTCTTGATCTGGTTATACCTACACTCTACAAAAACGATCCATGTGACATGTCTAATCTGTGCAGGGAAGCTTTGCAAAATCAAGCAGAATCATTTTTTTGAAATGAATCGATTTCCAACTATTTGGGAGAAAAGGCGAGGATTAGAAAAGAGGACAACCTCATCATGGGCTATTATTGTGGTTCCCTTATAACTAAAACAAAGAGACTAGTAAGCAAAATCCAAACAAAAGGAACGAAGAAACTTACTATCGGAAATGAAAACGAGCAGCACAATGAAGGACCCGAGCGTACGCTGCTGGTCCATTGCGAAGGTGCCTATGAGAAGCTGGCCGGGACACGCACTATACTACACACACAATACGTACTCCCGACGTTCCAATATGCAGGTGTGGCGCATGCCGCCAAGACTCAAAATAAGCACCACTGACTTACAACTTCCTTAATTCTTCTCATGTACTTCAAGATAACGCTCAAATTCATGATCAAAATTCATCGTTTGCTCGAGGGAAAGTTTTAACCCGCCCAGCGTCCAGATGTCCGCTTGCATGGTACCAATTGCACGTCTGGATTGTACAAGGTGTCAAAAATGTTTCTACTGTGTGTAAAAGTATCTCTGTCATCAATGCCTTCCATCTCTTACTAATGAGAATAGCCGGCTTCAACTTAGACTTATCTGCGAAAAATTTAGTACACTAATTTCACGCTTATAAGGCGCACTTTTTCGAAATTTCAAGCCAGCCGCTCAGCCGCTTCACTGTATTCCGGAAAAAAAATCCTTACATCGCACGATTCTCGCAAGCAATGTGCAGCACGTTATAGGGTGCTTTGGTTGTAAAGTCCTTTGGCTTGTCTAGGCTGATGATTTTGGAAAAAAATGCGCTGCGCCTTATACACGTGAAATTAGGGTAATCTAACAATTTCTAAAGGGCATTGTTTAGGGAATGGTCCTTGTGAAAAAATTGATGTTGTTCATAGTTTAAAAGACATAATACGCAAGCAGAATCTTGCGTCGACATGATACGTGATAAGCTAACATAGATATTTTGATAATAAGCTGATATGTCTAGATTTGTAATTATAATCCATGGGAACGGACGTACCCCTATCAGTTCCACCGCAGCTCCTGCTCTACCGCCACACTATTTGCAGTTACAGCAAATGTTCCTATTCTTTCGAACTTACCCTCTAAAAGTAATTTGTAGAGTACTGTTCTGCACCGTCCATTTCATAGGGCCTTTGATTAGAAAACCGTAACCGGCATGTGACACCTTGTCTTTTAGCTGCTGTAAATGAGGATTGACGAAGTTCTTTACTGCCTCATTAAGCTGAAAACGTATTTTGAAACAACTACAGGTAAACAAGTAATCCATCTAACCTCTTCTGCCACTTTCTTGTCGATTATCTTAGCAATCATATCTTTCAGCAGCGGTTCGACGGTGTTCAAAATTTCAAAGTGATTGGTGAAAGTAAGCCTTATGTTTGACTTTATGGAGATATTGGGGGTAAACTTGAAGTCGTCCCACACCATTTTGGCTTTGAGCCCCACATTATAAGAAGCTATGCTGGATAGTTGTATCAGTAATTTTGCACTAGTTTCTACATTTACTGCTCACTTTATGCCACCTCTCAAGCTAGAAAGTGGTAGCCATTGTATCCAACTATTGTTTACGATTCCTACTTCTATTCTCGCGCTAGCGTGGAATTTGACTCCTTCTATCTGAAGAACATACATTAGGCGATAGTGATCAGTGGTACATTCACTTGCTCCTTACCTTGAGATAAATTCCGCTATCAAATTTCATAAAGGATATACCACTGCTAGAAAAAGAGTACGAGTCGATCTTAGCATCCCATACTTTATATTGCACCAAGCTTAACTAATATGAAAATCAATGCTTTGCAAGAGTAACAGTTACACTCACCATTTCACTGTGCTCTGGAATTGAAATTGATCTTATAGTTTCATTGATAATAGCTTTTTCCGTGTCAAGTAATTTCCATGTCTTTGGCGATATTGTCAACATCAAAGGCTTAACAATATCTGGTGGCTCAACATTCCTCCCAAGCATTTTCAAAAGAGAGTAGACAGTCTCGCTGAAGTTAACCACATTATGTGCTTGCCTGAACGATGAGCCGGCATATACGAAAGCTCCGCACCTACCCTTCGCTGTTTCAGATGCATAGGATACCTTACAGAACACTGCTTCAGAAGTTCGCATTTGTGCACAAATATACTTTTTAAGCATTATTATTTCACTTCCTCTTTCAGAAGTCTATTAACTGCTGATTTATGGCGCATACATCCCCATTTATCGTGCTTTTTCGTTTGCATCGACAATGAGCTTAAAAATTAGTTCGCAACACAAGCTCATTCCTACTCAGTGGCCAACAAGCAATAGCAGTCTGCAGATGCGTATGCCATAGCTGCTTGAGCCACTCAAGCTTATAGCCGTCAAAAATCAGAGTAACTTCAAAGCTGTATAGTACACAAACATATCCGAATAGACTTTTGTTCAAAATATGTGATAGGACACCCAAAAATTGGTTGACAATTGGCTGCCTCGAATACCAGGCATTGCAAGCTCTCGGTTTTGGCTTTAGAAGCGGACTCGGCAGCATGCTTGCTTAACTTATACAAAAATATGTCACTTACTCCACAGCTTCGCAGCTGGCCACAGCGACACAAAGAATGAGAAACTTGAGCATCAGACTTTTGTCAAACCTCTGAAAAGAACCTTGCGTTTTGATTAGATTATCATTCTTGTGCAGCTTTTTGCGTTTACGAGAAGATGATACCATGTTAGGTCAAAGTGGAAGCTAGAATTGGTCAAAGCCTAGTACAATAGAGGAGAAACGAAACAGTGAACAGAGCAGAGTGCATAAAGTAGCTAAATGCATTCGACTTATCAACGTATATGATAAAATGCATCGCTCATGTAATCAGGATTATAACAGTTAGGAGGACAAGCGTTGGCACAATACAAGCAACGCTAGTTAGAAAAAAATGATCTTGGAAAGGAAAAAAGTGCCAGTATTTTGAAAGCTTGTAAGGAAAGTTTGTTTCAATTTGCTTCGGAAGTTCTGGCTCCTCGTTGCTGTATATGCCAAGCTACTCTAAGGTGAAAGATGTCAGTCACAAAGAAGCAATTTCACGGTAAGACTATAACTAATGACACATAACATTGAAAGTTTTAAATTTTTTAGACGGGACTGTTATTCAGAACAACAACATTGAACGCGCCTGCGTCTCATTTTTCACAAAAAAGACGGCTATAACAGGTGAATGACTGGAAAGCGAAACATATAGCTAATTGTTCCCAAAGTGTAGTGTTCAAAGTCTGAAAACAGATTAGGCAGTAAAAGCTGTACAAACTTGAAAATAAACTGAAAAGCATAACAGTAGTGCAAGCGTTGCACTTGAACTTTGGTGCATTACTAGAGCTATGTTTTCAAGTACCAACTGCGCTAACATGGGCAATGTCCTGCTGCTGATCACGTTCACCTGCAACATTTCAGAACTATTTTCACCACAACAAATTACTATTAAACAAACTCTAATCAAGATTGGCCTAAGTGTGACTGCATGATGCAGGTTATAAACAGAATCAAAAGCTGCGACAGCTTCCGAAAAGCACTTTTTGTATAGTGAAGAGGTAGCCGTACCCGGAACATCCGCGACGCTGCACTTGGCTGATGGCATGCTCCCACTCCCTTGCCTGAGGATGATGACAATGACACAAGCTATTGCTAGAATTGAGGGTATACAATAGTATTTTGATGGAAGAGGGTATACAATAGTATTTTGATGGAATTGTTACACCTCCGAACCTGCTGGCACTGCTTTAAAATAAATTACTCTTGTCATTTTTTGATAATTCTACTTCATCCGGCAAATGATGCCAGCAAGATCTGTCGAAAGTGAGCTTCCCAGTTGTAACAGAAATAGATGTTCTGCCAAGCCCAGATTGGTACGGTGGAATCTTTATTGGCCTAATTTCGTCAAAGTCGTCTTCTTCGGAGGTCTGAAAGATGACTGCAGTCCTGACTTGTGAAAAAAGCAGTGCAAAGATAAAGCAGCGCATTACTTGAGCACAACTGCAAAATGAGGTTGTACTGGTAAACATCCCGAACGAAAGTATCAGGAAGCAGTTGATGTGAAACAGGTTATACGATACAGAATGCGTATCAAAGCAATGCATTGTTTGCCCATACAGAAAATCAGTAGATTGCGCGAAGTAAGGAGTCGTATACCAACTAGTGGGTTCAAGTTGCGGAGCGTCCTATATAGGTGAGACAGGTAGAGCATTAAATATCAGGGTAGAGCACTTAGCAAACAAGAGACCGAGGGAAATTGGTACCACCGTTGGGAAAGCATAGATTTGAAGCACATGGCGGAGCTGAGTTTGAGGTCAAATGTTTTATCTTGGCGTACGAAACAAAAATTTCTGCACGAAAGATACTGGAAGCTTTGTGGATCTCGTTGAAGAGCCCAAACATGAATAACAAGAATGAATGCCTATCAATGACGAGTGATCTCCTGACGAGTGATCTCCGGTTTCTTTAAGGAGCTGATCTTCGCTTCCGGATTCGGACAGTTTTTGTGGAGTGTAACAGGAGCCGCTCTAAAACATTAATCTACTCCTTTTTTTCACCTTGACCTCTCAACGAAATTTTCGGGTTTATTTGCGCTAACCGATTTTTTGAGGAGACGTGGAAGTTGTCTGTTTGAACGGTGTGTTGCCGTCAGCTGCGGTGGACGCTGTACCGGTATCCATTTCTACATCCTCAACTGCTGGACCGCTTCTCTTCCACTGCCCCCTAAACATCTATTTACCCGTTTGCCGTCCTCATTCAACTAAACGCTTTGTAGCTTTTTCGTTTTTTCTCTATAATTCCGTTCTAATTCTCGTGCTGACTTTTCGTCAGCAAGAAAATTAGCATTTTTACTTGCTACCTCGAATGCGTGGATCACACAAAGCGGATTCAAATGGTGGCGGTTGGATATGATTGTACAAACCACTTGTACTTCGGTTTGTTCTTCGGGAGATTCGAATTTTTGCAAGTTGCTCCACCTACCGTCTTCGCCATAGTACCTTTTCATGTAAAAATTCACATAATCCTAGCAATGTCTATATGAACAACATGAAACATAAATGGTTTCGAGACTAATTTCTCTTGCAAGAGTTCTGATTGCGATGTTCAAGCTGCTCGGAATATGCACAGAAAGGTCTCCATATTGACATAAGCGACACCTTCGACCGTTTTTGACAAATCTCCACCGCTTAGAACTATCTCTGCTAAGAGATATTGCGCCTACCTAATAGAGTACTAGTTTGTCACTGATTTGCGGGACTGGACTCACAGTATTAACGAAGTGACTAATGCATACACATCTTCTTTTGATATTGAAACTTTCATAACACTTCTTCAGTACTTCTTGTGTGATCGATGTGTAAAGCTTTAGCAGCGAAAGATAAATTCTGTTATGCGCTTTGATATTTGACGTGCGTGTCGCGAAACAGTCTCGATTTTGCTTCCGCAAAAAAAGCAAGACACGTGTTCGCCTCCACCATAGTCAGAAAACTCGTAGCCTGAAGTTCCCGCATTCTCAACGCGTACAACGTTTCTATCAAAATATTGAGCTAAAATTTGGAAATCATTACCATACAACCATTAGCTGTAGAGTATTCAAATATTTTTATCTGTGCTATGATTGCTTTGTTGATGTAATAAATCTATCTCGCTTGTTTTCAGAAGGCTTCCGATTTTGGGTTGGCGTCAGCTGTAGAACGTTCCCTGGAATGCACTCCTTATTGTTTTCATCGTTTTCGCCACGCCAGTTCCAATCATTGTTGCTATCCATTTTCCGCAAGCAATTCGACCTCACAGTTTTTCGTAACGTTGAATATCATATATTATGCCACACGCTGTTTCAGGACTTGGCTGTTGACTTATCATGTTGTGCTACGTTTACAATGTTCATCCCATGTGTAAATCGCATTTGATAACTACCGTAGATGAGCCCCGGTGCACCGGGCATTTTATCATCTTTTGTCTTCGTCTTTGATGAACAAATATTTGGCAATAAGTTTATTTGTAACCATAAATTCTCCACAATATCGCATTGAAAAGTTTGTGGTAGCAACTGCGAATCTTGGGGGGATGCCCTAGCTTTGCAAATGATATGCACAAATATTTTCGACTCAACTGGCCGCAGCAAAAAATATGGCGAAGTAGATCAAATGAGGTTGCTGAGAATCAAAAGAAACGGTCGAATAAGTAGAAGCAACAACGTAGAAGAGAACTTCAGAGGCATGCCAAATAGAAAACAAGAATGTCATGCGTATCATCCAAATACTTATGCGATTTCCATGTGCAGGCGAATGATTCTGACAAGCAGCAACAGGTTCGACTGCCATTTCTATTTGTGAGAAGACTCTAAAAACAAAATCTAAGGGCTCATCAACCAAGTGAACACTATGTGATAGCTCACAGTCACATAAACTTTTTGATGGCAGGCCTTTCACTCAAACTTTTGACAGTAAGTGAGCCGTGAACATTTGAAAACAAAAAATCCAAGACTCTGGTGGATTCTAGTTGATGTGAGAGTACTAACACAGACAGATGTAAAACAGACTCGGTGTGCCCAAGCCTATAATTTCCACCTTGTTTCTCCTTATTCGAACGAGTACCTTCTTGCGGGCAAGCGGATAACGTTGACGAATTTGAATCGCAACAATAAACTGGAACATTCATTATAATTACCTTAATGGTTTACAACTGAATACCTCGTATTCACATAATTTAACAAACAAACAAACACACTCATACACACACACAAAATCAAAGTGTAAATGTTCACTATAGATGAACACAACTTCACATTAGAACACAGCAACATAAAATAGAAAATCACACTCCTAATGATCGAAAACAACCTATACTAGAATGGGGGTAGAGGCGAAACAGGCACAATGCACACATCACATCACTACTTACCTTGTAAATATTGCTCGAAGGACCACCATTTATATAAGCGTGAGTGAGCAAGGAGAGGAAGCCCGTATAA